CATAGTCAACGTACCTTAACGCTTCCGCCATACATATGGTAATTATCGATTTAATTGAAAAATACATAAAACTGAAAATCACGAAATATGCTTATTCATCATTCAATGAAATCGAAACACGTAATCACATATTACTCACAATCATAAATTATAATTCATACAAACATGCTCGAATTAATTTACGACAGTTTCGATTGATTTACCTCTTGTAGCGTGAGATTTCAACGAATCGAAACCTAAAACGAATCACGTACAAGCTGCAAATTACCAATCCTCGGGGCTGCAACTCACGGCTGGAACAAGCTGATCCAGCAAGCGACGAGCGGCGGTGAATGGCAGCAGCAGCGGCGGCGCGTGCGGCGGTGCGTGGATTCGTCGGGGCAGCAGCTCCTCTCCAATTAGGTTTCACCTCGTATTTTCGACCCACTCGAACTACAGCACTAGATGTAAACGAGTTAGCACAAATAAAACGAAGGAAAAAGAGGAGAAAACCGGCGGTTTTCCGTCGGTGGTCGGCGGTGGCGCGGCGGGGCAGCAACGGCCGAAGGGGAGAGCGGCTAGGGCTTGAGTGGCTAGGGTTTTGTGCTGAAAATCTGATCTCAAACTCTTGTTTGAGGTCTATTTATACTTAGGGTTTTCAACCCTAGTGGGCTTAAGTCATTGGGCTTGACCCACTGATGCATTAAGCCCATTCCCTCGTCGGCCTCGTTTCTAATAAACGATCGTCCACAAAATTATAACAAAATTATATTTGTGACAAGCTCAAAGTCCTCGTCGATACGAGTGCCTCTTCGAAATTTCCAATTTCCAAAATTGGAAACTTCCACTTTAGTGGACTTGCTAAATCGGGAAACTTCCCAATTTAGAAAGTTCACTAAATTCCGCATTTCTCTCTTTCTCCACGTTTATTCCAATTCACAATTCACAATTATGAATCTTGGATTCAATCATATCGACATCCAATCGTTCAAAGATTAACACATTAATCTATGCTTGTTGTTATCAAGGATCTATATTACACGAGAAGTGTGACCCTCAATGGTTCAGGTGTATGCTAGCCGTGGGCTCACAACTCTTTGTGATTCGAACAACACATTGTTCTTATACGAACTCCTCCCAAGAGTCCCGATTAGAGTAAAACTCATTTTACCTAATCCCCGATAAAGTCGGTGCCCAACGAATCAAGATTGGCGTCTAGCAACTACGCATCATGATTCCCTAGATACAAGTGAAGTGCCTGCAAGAACCTTATGATATAGTTAGCGTACAGTACGATCCTTTCGCAGCACATGTCCTGATTGAACTAGAGGCATTGGTTCACCGAGACCTCTTATAAAGTTCAATAACCGTGCGAACGTTCTAGGTATTATAAATCCGTTCGTGTGCGACTTAGGGAAACACATTTCCCTAATCACCCCACTATCAACTCTGGCCAGAGATTCCATGGATTATAAACCGTCAGAACACACAGGACATCCATGACTACTCAAGCGCTCGAATCCCCTACTACAATACACAGACTTCACACTAGATTTCGGATTGCACGAACGTTGACCCTTGGAGTGGTCCGCGGTGGGACTTAGAGACAGGTCACGATACAATCGGTCCTCTAGTGAAGTCACGGTGATGTCTGGGTCTTAAGGACTAATGGTGTACAACTATATCTTAGAAACCTATTACTCGATGAATGAGAACCACTTATAGATTTCTAGGGCGAGGGAGTTCAGTGAACTCATCTAATATGAGCACCCACTCAAGTATGCCGATGTCACAACACCGAGGACTGATGAGACGCAGTACACATACACTAAGTGCTAGTCTCAAAAGGGAAAGGCCGGTATCCTCATTATTGGCGTAACCCATCGACTAGGAACAAGGTTTAACAGTTACATTACATTGCTGAGTTATCTCACGATTCTACTAGATCAACTCACAGTAATAGAGTAACTCGTTAGGACTATATATATGCTACTTGCATGGGGTAACAGATATAGAATGCCAAATAAGATATTTTATTATTACGAACGAAAAACGATTGTTTTATTACAAGGATAAAGAGAAGACCACAACCACAAGTTGGCTTGTTGGTCACCTACTCTAACAAATACCAACTCTTTTTTGCTCAAATACATTTCCACTCAAATCCATTTGACGAACAGCCGAATCTGCATCAGCAAACGCAATAACATATGTCGATGTTAGTCGGTCTCTAATATACTAATACTAATACTAATACTAATACTAATACTAATCCTAATGTTAATACTAATACTAATCCTACTTCCCACTCTATTGCATTACCAATAAATGGGTTGGATGTGGTACATGGTATGCCTTGGCTTGAGAGCCTTGGACTGATGTGGATTGACTACGGTATGTGATGAAATTCAATGTCAGGGGTCGAGAATACCACATTTAAGGGAATAATGAGGAAACTCAATTTAATTGATTCACAAAAGGTGGAAAGATGGAGTAACAGTGATAAATTTCTCAAAAAACTAAACCTTGAAGACAAAGTTCAATTCATCTCGAAGAAGAGAAGAATGTTACGATTGATGAGCACCCAAGCCCAAAACTTCAATATGGAGCCATATGATAATAAATTAGATTACAATTACGTTTGAATATGTTTAGGTTGTTTAGGAGTCTTATCTCATTATTTGCATACTATTTTTTATTAGCACTAGTAATTTTTCCCGTGCGTTATATTACCACTGTTATATTATACGACTACCCGTAGAAAAAAAACACTATCCATATCAACCCACTTTTTGAGTTATAAGTAGCTATTAGAATACAATTCTCTTGCAATTAACAAACATTTAACAAATCAATCTAAACCTAATCTAAAAATTTGGCTACACCAATGTGTTTTTTTAATAAGAATAAACACATACTAAAGAGAAAATACGATTACAAACAGTGACAGAGAACATACGGAACAACTAAGACATATAAAGTTGGGAAACCGTTTTTGTTCAATGTTGTTGGTCATCAACACATTTAACCTATCTACATAAAAGAAGACGTGAATTAGAGAAGTATATGAAGATGGAGTAAACGAAAAACAAAGTGAATAACTCACAATATCTTTTATAAAATTGAGGACTTTTTTTTTTTGGCAAAATCTGTCAAAAATTTATAAATAATAGAACACAAATTTCTTGCGAAAGGTATTGTGGACCAAAACAAATTTGGAGATTAAACTGCGAAAACGTATTGAAAAATTGAATAATTTTGTTTTTTGCAAAAGATGTGATGTGAACAACATAAAAGCAAAAGAGGGGAAGCAAAAGATGATATAAGGGTTCAGGAGAGGGACGATGAAGATTGGAGGCACCAACAACCTATGTAATAAAACATATGCCCGTTAATACAAAATTCAATGACTCAAAAGAGAGAAAAGATTACAAACTGTCAAAATGCAGAATTGACTTGTAGAGTTGAAGTCTATTTCTTGGTAAAAAGTACACACTTTGATCTAAGTGTTCATATAAACCTGCCAAGAATGAAGATGAAACACAAAAATATCAAGAATTAATATAAGTATCTAAGTCATAAAGTTTTTTTTTTTTTTAATATACAGTGCCCTCAATAGAGAAAATAAGAGAAGCAGATGGACCGCCCATACATTATTAATTGAAGTGAGAATAATGGCAGCATATATTGTTGGCTGACCGAATAATAATTAAATGCATAAGTTAGTTAACGATATGATAAAAAAAGGTGCAAATAGCAGATGCAACAAATTACCTTAAAAAAAAAAAAAAAAAAAAAAAAAAACTAGGCTGCAAAACTAAACAAACTGATGTCACGCGGAATGAATGAAATCCCTCTTTCTCTATTTTTGTCAGACTTAGACTGTGGAACTAATGAAATTAGAAAATTAGAACCTGAGAATAACCTGAAAAACGGATATTCGTGAAAACATGAAAACCTGAAACGCGGGGAGGATTAGAGGAAAACAGCAAGATTGTAGACTCAATTGCTCAAAGTTTGCTTGCTTAAAGTCATTTTGGATTTAGTCATCTAATAATGCATTACACACATACATTGATATATACTAGATATCTCCATAAAAGAAGAAGAAATTCCATAAAATTATAGGCAATAATAAATGAACAAAGATTTTCGTTTTTCTTTACAAAATCAGATATATATTCTACACAGAAGTAAACAACAAAAAAGAAGAAGAAAAGAGAAATATAGGAAGAAACTGGCGGTGGCGGCAATGGGTGATGAGAGAAGGTGGATGTAAATTCACTGCGTCACCACCACCAGGTTTGTTTCCGCTTTCAGAGGTGGATGGTAGCAAATATATAGGGGAGAAGAAGTGGGACTGCAGGCAAATTTTAAATCATGCAAAATAAATAGCGTGGTAAAAGAATTAGGAAGGTATATATATATATATATATATATATATATATATATATATATATATATATATATATATATATATATATATACACACACACACGTAGTATATGTTAAGAAGAAATAGAAGAGTTGTGAGATACAGTGGGTTTTGTAGTTGTAGTTGTAGGACTCTTCTTAAGTTATGATTTCTTCCTATGTCTGTACAAATACAAAGCACGGTTCGAGGAATAAACCACACGAATTAAAAATCCTCTCTAATATATTTTCTCGTGGCATCAGAGCCTTCATAAAAAATATAATAAAATAATATAAAAAATAGAAGAAAAAGAGAGAGAGAGAGAGAGAGAGAGAGAGAGAGAGAGAGAGAGAGAGAGAGAGAGAGAGAGAGAGAGAGAGAGAGAGAGAGAGAGAGAGAGAGAGAGAGAGAGAGAGAGTAGGGTAGCACTGAATTATTGAAGAACCACCATGACAGGTGTTGACGATGAGATAAGGTAGATGCACAAGGTTCTGGGAGAGGACCAACTGTAGTTTCGCCTTATTCTTTGCATCCTTCGGATAATCCTTGATCGCTTATTCCACCCGTTCAATTGAAAGGTGAAAATTATGAAGAATGGGCGAGATCGATGCGGAACGCGCTTCGAGCAAAGAAGAAACTTGGATTCATTGATGGAACATTGAGCAAACCCCCTAAGGACTCAACAGAGATGGAAGACTGGTGGATGGTGAATTCCATGCTAGTTGCATGGATTACCAATACAATTGAGCCATCGTTGCGGTCTACGGTGACGTACATGGAAAACGTCAAAGATTTGTGGGAGGACCTGCGTCAAAGGTTCTCAATTGGTAATGGACCATGTGTTCATCAACTGAAGTTGAAATTGGCTGCGTGTAAGCAACGCGGGCAGCCGGTGATGGCGTACTACGGTAAGATAAAGATGATGTGGGACGAGTTGGTGAACTATGTGTCGATACCCGTGTGTCATTGTAACGGCTACAAGTGTGATATTTCCGCTGCGCTTGAAAAAAAAGGGAAAAGAGAAAGTTCATCAATTCTTGATAGGGCTCGACGATGCAATATATGGGACCGTGCGTTCAAATATATTGAGTATGGCCGCTACCGAACATGAATAGGACATATTCAATAATCATTCAGGAAGAGTGACATCGCAACTTCGCACGAAGTAAGGATGACCGAGGTGATGTGGTGGGATTTTCAGCACAAACAGGCTCAGTTGCAAGAGCAGCTGCTGTCCGCACAGAGGAAAAACTTGGATCTTGTAGACATTGTGGACAAACCGGTCACGACACAACGGAATGTTACCAGATCATTGGATACCCACAGTGGTGGGGAGATAGGCCTCGAGAAACTGGAAGAGGAGGTGGTTGAAGTAAATGAGGAGGAGCCTTGGGACGCGGGAGATGAGGTAATATTAGAATTAATGCTACTCGTGTCACTACAGCTGAAAATACAGGACAACACCATAGAGTGGGAGCTGAAGCGAATAATGTTGGATTTCCCGGTCTTAACAAGGATCAATGGTCGACGTTACTGGATCTCTTGAACTCGAACAAATGTGGATAACGTTTGTCTGATAAGGAAAATTTTAATGAATGGATTGTAGATTCTGGTGCCTCACATCACATGACATGAAATATAAAAATATTGTCTGACGATCGTAAAATTACACCGTGCCCTGTCCGACTACCTAACGGGGAGAATACCCTTGCATCGAGAGAAGGAAACTTGTCTTTGGGAGCCCGCGGTTGTTTGCAACATGTTCTGTTTATTCCAAATTTGAATTGCACTCTTATATATGTAGCTAAGTTGTTGAAAGAATTAAATTACATAGTCACTTTCGCTGATAATTTGTGTGTAATACAGGACCGAACTTCGAGGACCCTGATTGGAGTGGGTGAGGAGTGCAGTGGGGTTTACCATATTCGAGGATTTGCACCAGTACGAGTGAATAAAGTCGTTGGATTAAGTGAGCAAGAGTTGTGGCATAGACGATTGGGACATCCTTCTAATCAAATATTGTCATTTATTTCTGCGATTAAGAATAGAATTAAAAGTAGTAATAGTGAGACCCACGAACCATGTGATATTTGTTTTCATGATAAACAAACTCGTGAAGTATTTTTCAAAAGTGATAATAAAGCTGATGATTGTTTTGCTTTAATTTAGTTGTGATTTATGGGGTGATTATAGAGTACCTGCGTCTTGTGGTGCTCATCATTTTCCGACAATTGTTGACGATTTTTCAAGGGCAATGTTGGTTTATTTATTTCTTGAGAAGAAGGAAGTGGGACAAACTATTAAAGTCAGGGGGATATCAGAGCTTGATGTTGTAGAAGTCAGGGGGAGCGAAGACAATACCTGTGAGGTTGAGGTAACGGATTGTCAAGATGGCATCGTAAATGAAGTTTTGGAAGAACCGTCACCAACAGAGAATCTTGGTAGGGGACACCGCCAAGCCAAGCCTTCAGTTCTATTAAGGGATTATGTTACTTACAGTGCTCAATTCTTACAAACCCCCACGCACACTGTACCCAACTCCTCGATGGGATCCTCAGGTATTACTCCTTATCCCATAGAGAATTATGTGACTTGTGCTAGTTTTTCTAGGTGCCATCGAGCTCTTTTGGCTACAATTGATACATGAATTGAGCCTAAGCATTTCTCAGTTGTGGTGAAAGATGCAAAATGACAAGAAGCTATGCAAAAAGAGATACAAGCGTTGGAGGACAATGAAACGTGGGCATTTGAACGTCTACCACCAGGGAAGAAAGCCATAGGGTCCAAATGGGTGTATAAGATCAAATACAAATCCGATGGAACAATCGAAAGATACAAGGCTCGCCTGGTGATTCTAGGAAATAATCAGCGAGAAGGGATAGACTACAACGAGACATTCGCCCCCGGTAGCGAAGATGGTGACATTGAGAACGTTTTTGGCTATTGCTGCTGCGAAAAATTGGGAACTTCATCAGATGGATGTAAGTAATGCATTTTTACATGGGGACTTGCATGAAGAGGTTTATATGAGATTGCCCTCTAGTTTTTCCTCTAAGGATCAAACAAAGGTTTGTAAACTGAAGAAATCTCTCTATGGATTGCGGCAGGCTCCAAGATGTTGGTTCACGAAGTTGGAGGCCGCTTTGAAGAATTACGGCTTTTCTCATTCATATTCATATTATTCCCTTTTCACTTGGTGCAAGGGAGTTTCTCATTTGGGCGTATTGGTCTACGTTGATGACTTGATCATTGCAGGCAACGAATCTACAGCAGTGTCAAATCTCAAAGAATACCTTGGTCGTTGCTTTCATATGAAAGATCTTGGTGTCCTCAAGTACTTTCTCGGTATAGAAATGTGTCGTGGATTGAAAGGAACTTTTTTGTGCCAATGTAAATATTCTTTGGACATTGTCACAGAAATAGGGTTGTTAGGCGGTAAACCCGTGTCTGTTCCGATTGAACAAGACCATAGATTAGCTTTGTCAAAAGAGCCGTTCATGAATGGTCTGGAGAAATATCGACGACTCGTTGGAAGGTTAATATACTTGACAATCACAAGACCTGAACTTATTTATTGTGTACATGTATTGGCTCAATTTATGCAAACCCCGAGAGTGGATCATTGGGATGTTGCATTACGGGTTGTCCGGTACTTAAAAGGTAACACCGGGCAAGGTATTTTTTTGCGCTCCGACAACGACTTGCGTTTGGATGCGTATTGTGATTCTGATTCGGCAAGTTTTCCACTCACTCATCGCTCGCTAACGGGTGACTTTTTAATGCTGGGAACCTCGCCTGTTGCTTGGAAAACCAAGAAGCAACACACTGTATCTCGCTCATTTTCCGAAGTGGAGTATCGATCGATGGCGACCACATATTGTGAGTTGAAGTGGTTAAAAGAGCTGTTGCATTTCCTTGGTGTGGTGCACGATAAACCGATGAGATTATATTGTGATAGCAAGGTTGCGTTGCATATTGCTACTAATCCTATTTTTCACGAAAGGACGAAACACATTGAAATTGATTGTCATTCTGTTAGAAATGAGATTAAACGAGGCACAATATCTACTTCTCATGTTCGAACTCGTGAACAATTGGCGGATATCTTGACAAAAGGATTGGGTAAACAACAGTTCGATCACTTACTTCACAAGTCGGACATCCGAAATCTCCATGCGCCGGCTTGAGGGGGAGTATATATATATATATATATATATATATATATATATATATATATATATATATATATATATATATATATATATATATATATATATATATATATATATATATATATATATATATATATATATATATATATATATATATATATATATATACACATATATATATATATATGGCCGTGAAATTCTCGATATATATATACACATATACATACGCTCGCTATATCTCTCTCTATCTCTCTCTATCTCTCTCGCGAGATGTGCGATTTGTATATATATTTGTATATCTCTCTCATTCTCTATTTGGCTAAATTATAGGGTGTACCTTTTATAAATGAATTAAACCATTATTTACACACTGGCGAGCGGGTCGAGGTTAATTAATTTGGCGGGCCCAAACCTTATTTGAAAGTAATTGGGTTTTCGTAATTGTGTTCCTCTAAATCACACTCGCGGCCCAGTGGATAGAGAGATTGTAAGCGTGGTGGGCTGACCCACTTAGGCATATCATTAGTCC